GCTTAAAAGTTAGTTAACCGTTTTCAACTTTCAATATTTCTGCATAAATATGTCTTGAAATGCAATGTATTCTCCATACAAGTCCTCAAATTAGACAAAGAGAACCCAATTAAACAATTGAGTCAAAAACACACTTATTCCTTTACCTGGAAGTTTTTCCATCTTTCAATTTATTTATTAGTCTCAGACTCTCTGGGTGGGAGATCACAAAGGGATGGTGTGCGTTATCTCATTCAAGGGAAAGTAGATGGAGAGAGAAAGTGTATTATAGAACTCTTATATAACTTAATCTATATAAAATTAAATACATAATCCCAGGATCTTTCAATCCATGGGTTTCATCAAAAAATAGTAACAAATAAAGTCATTATACTATCCCTTAATAAAACACATACACCTGACATTTAAATAATACTATAAAATAACTTGCAGGAAGTGTGAATAGTAAAAGTAGTTGTTCATATAAATTAACTGATGATTAACTTACTGGCTCTTGGTTTTATATTCTCTAATCTTGTCCAAGAACAGCTTCTGTACAGGATCAAGTTCCTTTGCTTTATTAAAGGCGATGGCAGAAAAGCCAATATTTCTACGCAATTGGACAGATAGGGCTGAACGGAAAATGGAAGAAAATCTAAAGAGCTGTTGAAGAATCATGATAAATTTGCGAAATGTTCACCTAGAAAGACAAAACATATCACACCTGAAATGCAAATTATTTACTTTGATATGATCACTATACTAGTCTGAGATATGTTGGGAATCCTGCTTCGCATTTAAACTCACTCCACAAGAAGGATCTTCCAAATTGTCACTTCAAAATTATTATGAATTACATCACAATATTTTCCTTCAGTATACTAATGATCGGCTTTTGATTTTAATGTTTTGTTTCATTTTATTTGTTTCATTGCTAACCTCTTAAAATCCAAGTAGAAAAAAGCTATAGATAAACCTGGCAAATAATTTCAGACTGCCACTATTTCATTATATAGTGTCCTATTCAATGATGGCAGCCATGGCCAGAATGGTCTTGTCCTATGCCATTGCGCCCTTTCCTGGGATGCTCATGTCTAAGTATCTTTTTCTCAGATAACTGCAATATGCTGTACATGTGGCCACCAATGAAGACCATTCTGAAGCTTCAGCAGATTCATAGTGTGGCCTCATAATCAATTATGAATACATCTTTGTGTTTCTTATGTAACAATTTTGCTTTGTCTTGTCAGAGTAACTGTGTTATATCCAGTGAGTTTCTAGATACAATTCATTGAACTGGTTTTAATCTATCAAGCTACATGACTTAAGGACTTACCTTTCTCCGCTTGTCTTAAATGATCTCACAGGATGGTATCCCTAAATCCCTTCATTTAAACAATATCATCTTGTGATGCCCAGAGATAATGTGTCTTCCCTTTGCCATTCATGTACTCTAGAATACTATTTCTCAGAGCCATTTGGTCCCATCTATGGATTGTGTTTTACAGCAGTAGTACAGGTAGTTCTTGACTTATGACTGTTTAATGATGATTCAAAGATACAATGGCCTTGGAAAAGTTAATATATGACCTGTACTGCATTTATGACCATCACACCCCTGCAGTCATGTGATCGCAATTCAGATGTGTTGCAACTAGCTCACATTTGTGACTACTTGTAGCATCCTACAGTAACATCACAATTTACAACCTTTTTTGCTAATTCCTATCAAAAAACAACCTACTTGGGAACCTGGATTTGCTTAACAACCATGGTGATTTATTTAATGACTGAAATAGAAATTCTAGTTCCAATTGTGGTCATAAGTTGAGAACTATTTATATAAACCTGACTTTTTGGATAGGTCACCTGCCAAGTTTGGAATACAGCCCAGTGATACTAATGCTCATATTTATTTATTTAGTGTACATGTTGCCTGTCTCTAACAAGTGACTCTGGGCAGCTAACAATTAAAAAAAAAGAAAAAAAGAAAAGAAAAACTAGACAATCAACTACAGAGATAAAAATATCACCAACAAAAATCACACCCATAAGTATAAATATAATATAAATATTTCAATAATACTAACTTGCAGTAAAGCCCTGGATGAAGAGGTCACTTCCCATTCACTCATTTAATTTTTGTATTTTTTGCATTCTGATTTTTGCTCAATTTTACGAAGTCACCTTAAATTATTCTAATTTATAGGAATAAAAGTCAGGTTGCCTCTCCATCAGACATCTCCTTATGCAAAAATATTTCTACATAAACAACTATTTAAACGACTCATTTTGTTGATAGAATCAATACCAAACTCTATCAGCAATTAATAAAATGTTCTGGAAGACTGCTCATTACAGAAGCATTAATACTTTAGACTCGAAGCTGTTTGAGGGATTTGGATTACGGGCAAGATCAAGGAAGGATTTACAGGGGAGCTAATACAGTTGCCATAAATGAATAGCTTTTGAGGCCCATTCTATTATCAAGATCAGAGTATTGTTACTACAGTAGTCGGTTCTGTGTAACAGACATCCATTCGTTTGTGTGGGAAGTGTGTGGAGAGGGGGTGGGAGCGGCAATAGCATTCACTTCATCCTCCACCACCGAATTAAAAACAAAAACGGGTCTAGTAAAGGTAGAAAGGATAGCGGTTGCTATATTGCGTCAGAAGAAAAGCAGCTGAGGGCATCATGCCTACGGTCTCCTCAGTTGGCATCGGCCTTGTCTGCCAAAGAAGCTGCTGCTCAGAAAACTCCTCCTGTCCAGCTCTCGGGAAGTTCAACCCACCATAGCAACCTATTTCGCATTCCCCAATCCTACTTTTCCCTAATGTGATCCCCTCTGAGGCACCGGATATTATTTTCACGATCCCCACAATCTGGCCAAATTGACCCACCGGCTTCGGAATGGACGAATTTAGCGGTTTACCTGTCGCTAACTGCAGCCACTTATCATTCTACGGACTATTTAGAAGCCAGAATATCCAGGGAGACGATTTGGAACAATGTGATGGGGGGGGAGGGAGAGAAATGGGATCAAACTACCTAAAGCCGAAATCCTTCAGAGATGACTGCTTTTTCAGCCTCCTTTTACCCGTCTCCACTCCTCAAGGAGCCCACCACGATCGGTCACCTTCCTGGAGCCTGCAGTCAAATGGCCCCGCCCCGACGCCGAAAGTCGCAATGGGTTTCGGGAATTTTGTTTTAAGACCGCCCGTTTCTGATTACTTGCTTATCTAAGCATGGCTTACTTTTACCTTCTCTCTAAGTGTAGCTAGTCGAAATTCCTTTCCGGCTCTTTTCTAATGAGGAAAGGTCATTAAAAACTCGGAAAAAACTCTTTAACCGATGGCCAGTATGCCTACCGGAAGCAGAAGGATTCACTTCCGATTTAAAGTGGCGCTTATAAAAATACTTTGAATTTTACTATAGTACCTCTAGGCGGGCTCGCAAGGGGCGCTGGGAATCGTAGTTTTTGCCCTTGGCGCGCGGGGTGGGGGGGGATCGTGTATCTGCGCTTTTCCCCCGCCAGGGCCCCGCGCGCAGGCCTAGCCGACCGACCGACCGCCAGAGTTGGGAGTCCTCTAAGGGTTCCCCCCCCGCCCCGATTCCCTTTCGCCGCCAGGACTGGCAGGGAAAACAGGAGCTTCTTGGTTGAACCGTCGTAGCTGCCACGGCGGAAAAGAGAAAGCAGCGGCGCTGCTCCAGTCGCAGCGGGGCTGGATTGTTTTTGTGACGGAGACCGTGAGGTGGCGGCGGCGGCTGGTGAGTCTTCAAGCGGGAACTCCGGGGCGCGAGGCTCGGAGGAAAGTGAGCGGGAGGGGGAAGAGGAAAGCGCCTCGCGCTGTATCCGGGCGGGAGGGGGGTCTCGTGGCCTCCTCACTTCTTGTGTTTTGTTTCCGTTTCTGCTCCGCGCGGCGCGAGTCTCATTTCCGTTTCGAGTTCAAACAACAAGGAGGCGCCGCCGCGGGTGACGGAAGAAGGCCTGGACCGGGGGAAGGATCCCCCCCCCTTGGTGCCTGTTCGTCTTGGCAAGATTTTGCCTCCCACCCCCCTCGAATCATGGGGCGGGAAGGATCCCTGTGTCCTGTTCGTCTCCTCTTTTGGACATTGGAAAAAGAGGCCTCGGGACTCCCGCCGAAAGCCAAGTCCCTTTGGCAGGCGCCTTTTCCCCCTCTATACAGGGATAGGTTGATATACATGTTTTTTTTTTCTTTTATCTGACAATGTTGGGTCCCGGAGAGGGTCTCTGACAACAGATTGCAAAATGAATTCGGCAGCCCCTTTTCCCTCCCTCAATTTTAAACGCTTTTTCGCCATCTCCCTGCTTAAAACGCCCCTCCACATCATGGTCGTCAATACAGTTTTCTTAGTCTTGACGTCGCTTATTTTAGTTACGTTCAACTGCTGTAGCCGTATATATTTTGTCAAAATCGATGTGTAATTGTTTCAGTGAGGAACAAGGGGCGTCTGGTGGATAGCCGTAGTTGGTAGCAAAAGTTATGTTGTAAGTACCGTAAGTATATGGGCACTGTACATCCTGTTTAAAGTGCAGTAAGGCCGCTTTGAAAACAAGAACAAGGGATAAATGAAATGTATTATTATGACAAAGAAGGGTTTATATTTATCATTTCTTGTAATGTTTTGGCGACAAGGAAAGTACAGCTTTGTTTCTTCAGTGCAGTTGTTACCTGTAATTTTGATGAGACCCAATAGAAATACAGGTAGTCCTCGACTTACAGAAATCTATTTAGTGACCGTTTGAAGTTACAACTGCACTGAAAAAATGACATGATCGTTTTTCACACTTACGACCATTGGAGCATCCCCATGGTCACGTGATTTGCATTCAGATGCTTGGCAACTGATTCATATTTATGACCGTTGCTGTGTTTCCCAAGGTCATGTGATCTCCTTTTGCGATCTGAGAAGTAAAACCAATGGGGAAGCCACATTCATTTAACAACCGTGTTACTAATGTATAAACTGCAGTGATTCACATAACATGTGGCAAGAACAGTCATAAAATGGAGCAAAACTCACCTGACTTAGCAATATAAAGTATGGCCTCAATTGTGATCATAAATCATGGACTACCTGTAAACTACTTTTTTTGTTTAAGTTCTTATTGCATGCATATGTAGGGGTAATCTTTTTTTTAAAGAAAACTTCAATTTAATAAAGGATGAAGAACTGATTTGGGAGCAACTAATTATTATTTTTATTTCTCTTTAGAAATACCAGGTAAAGCAGGATATAGATATAGAGGGAAAAAATAATGTCTGAATTTGAGTTTTATCCTCTCTTACTATTTCCTGATCAGCATGACTACAATAATTAGCTAACCAATTGAATTCTTCACTGTAAGGAGCAAAATAACATCCCCTTGTTTTTAATTTAAAATGTTCAACTTTTCAACTCCAAAGCTTCCAATTTCATTAGGCTCCCAAGAGCACCTTAAAGATGATGTAGCAGCCTCATGACTTAAAATGGTTGAGTTCTCCTGGTACACTGAATCATAAACTAGCCAGTTATATTTTAGCCAGCATATTATGTACACTGAGCATGTTACATACACTGAGAGAGGTTGATAAAGGGAGAGATGTATTTAGTTTAAACAACTGCAGACTGCTGCAGTTTAATGTTCTAAAGCACCATTTTGTCTTTGAAATTGAAGGGTATAGCCCTACCTTTTAAAATGCCTATTTTAATTGGCAAATGTATGCAAACTAAAGGTAACTCTTTTAAGCTACAACATTCTAGTAAGCTGTATGAATTTCTTGGACTAGAGTGAATATAACATACTGCATGTTTCAGAAAGTGATGGAAAAAGATGGAAAATAAACTTAGTATAAGGTATGGTTAACATCAGCTGTTAAAACTACAGGTAATCCTCGACTTACAACAGTCCATTTAATGACCATTGAAAGTTACAACGGCAATGAAACAAATGAGTGATGGCCATTTTTCACATGGATATTGCAACGTCTCCATAGTTACATGATTGAAATCTGTGGCAAGAAAGGTCATAAAATGGAGCAAAATTCACTTAACATGTCTTGCTTAGCAACAGAAATTTGGGCTCAATTGTCATAACTCAAGGACTACCTGTGCAAGACTTCTAAAAGAGGCAGTGCTGTAATATCTTCTTAAGAATAAATACAGAATATATGAGGTTTTTAAAATATGGTGTATTTGATTTGTTTACTGTCTAAGTGATTTCAAAGGCTGTGCAGCACTTCAGGTTTGAAGGGCAAAAAAAGTTCTTTAAAAATGCTCAAGTGTATGTATATAGCACTTGTCAACAACTTAAAGCAGCATTTTTAGTTGTAATGGAATAACCATTATTGCTTCATAGTAGTACTCAACAAACTTTATTTCTAACATGCATTCTTTATGCTACTGTATACCTTTTTTCAGATTCTATGAAATAGTAAAAATGCATGTTACATACAATCATTTTTATTTTAACACATGTGGACTACAAGTACTTGTTATGTTTGAATTTGCAGGCTATCTCTTGAAATATTTCAACCATGACTAAAAGAGAAGCAGAAGAACTAATAGAAATAGAAATTGATGGAACTGAAAAACAAGAGTGCACTGAAGAAAGGTATATAGAAAGATTACATGGGCCTCCATACATGATTATTTTTATAGCTGTCTTTCTGATTAATAAAGGAAGGTCAAATCCATTTGAAAAAATGTTTTCATTTCAATTATGGAAATAATTTTTTCTTGACTTTAAAGATGTAAATGTATGAGGTTTTTTTTTTAATGAAGGATAGAAAGCATAAATTTGTTATTACTGTTCAAAGAACTTTTGATGCTTGCAACAAGTTGAAGCAACAGATGCTTTTTTCTACCTCATTATTATTTTGGGAATAGGATTAGGTTTATAAAATTGAAAAAAAAAATCACATGAACAGGACTTTAAAACCAGAGTACATATTACTTACAAAATAATTAAAAGAAATATTTAGTGGTAGGAGAAACATTGTTTTACAGATGTTAGTTCAGTGTCCTAAAGTTCTTCATTACCGTAGTATTAAAATACTACTTAAGAATTTTGTGGATTACTGTTGCTAATCATCTGCCAGTATGTATGTAATGTACTTGTGTCTTAGAAGTCTCTTGTTCCTTCTTATGTGACTTTTGAATCACTGTTGCCTTAATCACATCCTAGTCTATTTTGAAGATTCTTTATAGGGGTGTAGAAATAACAGAAACATTTAATGATATCATGCTAAATCTCTAGGTGATTTGCCAAAAGACTGCACCCCTTTCCCAAATTATCATAAATTCCAAAATCTTGCAATTAATTAAAATGAATTTTTATATGAAAAAAGCTCCATTTAGGTCTGGTACTCAAATTATTGTTGTGGTTTTTGTCTCACACCTACTTTAGTGGATTTCAGAATTCAAAATAAAATAGTTTCATTAAATGTCATCAATCGTTTAATATTTGGCAGTGACATTGATTTAGGTGTTTACATATGAATTATCTACCTGTACCTGTTGTACAGGTACAATATTATTGAACTTTAAAAAAATGTTCAAACCAGTTTAGGCTAACAAGTTAAAAATCTATTTTAGAAAAAAATGTTTAAAATACAGTGGATCATTTTTTAATTCTTTCCTTTCAGCATTGTTGAACAGACTTACACTACTGCAGAATTTGTAAGTCAGGCTATTGATATCAATGAACCAGTTGGAAACTTAAAGAAACTACTAGAACCAAGACTTCAATGTTCCTTAGAAGCCCATGAAATCTGTCTCCAAGATATACAGGTATAAGCACAAATTGTTAGAGTTGTAAATAAGAATCAGTTTTAGAGTTAGATTTAGTAGTAAATCAATATAGATTTAGTCAAATATAGTTCGTTTACATTTCTTTTATACAATATGTTCTTTTTTCCCAAGCATTCTACTTATGTTTCCACTCTCATATCCACTACATTTATCAAGCTAGTTTTATATAAGAGTTTTTGAATTATTTAAAGGAAAGGAAAGTTAATGTAAGAAAGGAAAGTATATATAATAAAATAGAAAATAAGGTCAAGTATGAGTATGAGAAAGCTAAATTATAGCAAATAAGCTACTTTAAATGTGAAATACTAAAGTTTGTGGAATGTAGTAGTGCATGTAGAGGAAAGTTTTGGCTTGGATGGTGGAAACAGATTGTTCTAGGATGCACAACAAGCCATTGTTTGGTTATGAATACATCAGAAAAAAACCTACAGAATTTTGATTTATTCAGATGAATCACATGTTTTTGTTTATCTAAAGGAGGAGAGCAGAAAGTTGTCTTTTTATTTAAAGAACATCTTGCTTATATAGAATAAGCAGTATGGTATTATGCGGTATAAATGGTATTTTCAACAAACCTCCAAAACAAAGATTATTCTATCCTGGGGTGGGGTGCAGGGAGGGAACTATTTTGATTTGCAATGATTTTGATGTTAAATATGATGCTAACTGATTCTTTGTGATATTGCCATATAATGTAGTAGGTTGTTTAAGTTTGTGTATCATTTATCTATCTATCTGTATTTGTAAAGTCAATACTTCTTTGAAATTTTAAAGAAACGTTCACATTGATAGTTATGAATTGCTAACTTCAACATTTTTCTAAATCTCCTTTCGTTATCAAGCTGGATCCAGACCGTAGTCTGTTTGATCAAGGTGTCAAAACAGATGGAACTGTGCAGCTTAGTGTCCAAGTAATATCGAGGCAAGGTAAATTATTACAAATTATCAAAGTAGACTTTAAATGTGAAAAGGTAGAATAGAATGATAAGGTAGCGAAGAGGAAACAGGAAAATACCTTTGGCACCAGTTCCTAATAATTCCTAAGTTTCATAATGGAGAGCTGGGATAGATACGGGCAGCTTATGAAAATATCATGGGGCATCATTACTTTTTCTCTCACTTGCTTTCCCTTTCCTTGTTTCATGAGAGATACAATATACGTTTGAAAAAACTGAAATGAAATCCTTTGCTAATTAGTTCAAATAGGAATATTTCACATATATTCCATAAAGAAAATACCATTGTAGAGAATAAAGGCTAAACTTTTTTCCGCATATGATTTTTAAAACTAAATGCCTTTGAAGAGGCGATCTAAGTAATAATTCTGTTCATTCTGTTAATATTATATTTAGGTACCGTACTGTTTCATTATTTATAAATATTATTTTTGTATATTCATTCACTTTCTTTTTGTGTATATAGGAATGGACCCAAAGTTAAACATCCTTGAAATTGTAAAACCTGTCGAAACAGTTGAGGTAGTAATTGATCCAGATGCCCATCACACTGAAACTGAAGCACATCTTGTTGAAGAAACTCAAGTAATAACATTAGATGGAACTAAACATATTACTACCATATCTGATGAAACATCAGAACAAGTAACTCGATGGGCTGCAGCATTGGAAGGGTACCGTAAAGAACAAGAACGCTTAGGAATACCCTATGGTAAGACATTGTATAATTAAATGATAAGAATTAGGGTTGTACAAAATCCATTGCTCCATACATCTCATTTTCCCAGAACATGATAGGGTCATCTAGTTTAGTAGTTATCTAGAAGTAAACTTTCTAGAACATGCCATTTTAGACCATGTCTAAAACATGAACCATCTGTGTTATGGGAAATTTATTTCTATAAAATCCCTCAACTACTACTGCAAAGTCCAGGTTGGTACATTATGGTAGAAGAGTGGAACTTATTGTTAAGAGTGGAAATACAGTAGATAGGTAGGGAGAGAGAGAGAGAGTAGTAGGTTGGTAGATAGAGGAGAGGGGGGGAGGGAGGGGGAGAGAGAGAAATATAGTAGAGAGAGTAGGTAGGTAGGTACGTAGGTAGATAGAGGGGAAGAGAGAGAGAGAAATGAAATATGCTAGAGAAGGAAATCTCTGACAATCTGCAGCACCTAAGACTTTGTTTCTGCTGGCACAGCACTTGATCAATGTAATTCTTATCAATCAGTTAAATAGCTTTCTAAAGGGTGGGGGGAGTTTTTGCACTCTGCAAACCTCCCCAAAACAGCCCGTTTTTCATGAAAATGGGCCCATTTTTTTGTCAAAAAAATTGCATGCATAGCCTTATGGAGACTTATAAAATGCTCCTGGGAGCTGGGGGGGGGGGCAAAATTGAGCAAAAAATGGCTTGCTTTTCGCTCATTTCTACCTTCCCCAGCCCCCAGGAGGTCTCTTAAAGCCTCCATAAGGCTATTCACGGCCATTTTGGTGAAGGGGCGGGGTTTCACGAGGCAAAAAATGCTGTATTCGATGTATAAGACACACCCAGATTTTCAGCCTGTTTTTTGAGTAAAAAAGGTACATCTTATACTCCGAAAAATATGGTGAGCGTTCCTCCCCTGTACATCATACAGGGGAGGAACATCATCAATACAGGTGATGAATTCCAAATGATTCTGAAAGAAATTGCAATTTTAATTAATGATGTATTAGATTTGAGTCTAATTCTCAGTTGCTTCTGCGATTACTATTTACTAATGGAATTTTATTATGACTTAATTGTTTTTGCAGAATGTACATCATATAGAATATGTCATATTTCAGCATTGGGAAAATGAATTCTTTGTATTTTCCTAGATCCAGTACAATGGTCAACTGATCAGGTACTGCATTGGGTTGTATGGGTGATGAAGGAATTTAGCATGACAGACATTGACCTCAATACACTCAGCATTCCGGGAAGAGAACTGTGTAGCCTCAGCCAAGAAGATTTCTTCCAAAGAGTCCCTCGGGGAGAAATCCTATGGAGCCATCTGGAACTTCTTCGAAAATGTATGTAAGAAAATGTGTTTTCTTAAGCAAGTGTGATTTTTAAAAAGTAAACAAATAAAATGTTTTACATTGTGGATATTCTAGTTCTCAGAATGTATGTATGAAATGTGAATTTAAATGCTATTTGGCTATGTGAAATTATAATCCATTTCTATCCTTTCAGTTTTTAGCAGAAAAAAGAATTTAGCATCATTTGAAAGATATGGATACTATGAAACAGTACAATTATTTTAATAATACTATTGAAATGTCAATGCTTATGTTTTTCTATTTAATAAAACAATTTTGTATAATTTTTAAAAGATTATAGTCTGCCTCTAAAAAATAAGCAGACATTAAATAAAAATGCACAATTTTGTACAATGCTACTGATACCCAATGTTTTATATACCGGTATTTGCTTGCTTGCTTGCTGTTCCAGGTGAAATTAACTTTAAGCAGTATTATCCATCCATTGCAAATTGAATTTAAAACATATAGTAAGCTTTGCAATAAAACAATAGCTACCACAGTTCATAAAATAGAAAATATATAAAGGCAAAACCTGCAAATCTAATCCATTCACAATCACCAAGCATACAATTACTGCTGTTGCAAGAAGGAGTAGATCATAGTGTCACTTTTTGTGAGGACTTCCCAAAAGTCATTGTGCGCACGCTGTGTTCGGATACCCAAGCAAATTCTGTTCCGTAAAGAATGTTTGCCTCTGATGCCTAAAGATGGCTGTCCTGTATCAAATAAACATTAAGCTAGTCACCTGGCTAAATGTTATTTGACATGTAGATATGATTGGGAATCTAGCTAATATCCACTTCCTCAACCAAAATTAAATGAACACATCTCCCCCTCAGTGTTACTTATAACAAAAACATATCCATTCATAATTAAACATTTTCAATAGTAGAAGTTAACTGATGAAAAAAATTGGGAATTTAAAGAAAAAGTATGAAATGAAGTTGTCTTACAGAATTTATAATGTAATTCATATAATAGATACATAAAGAAAAATACTTTGGTTTACTGTGTATATTTATAGTAGGATATACAAAATGTTACAGATATAGAACAGCTGGTTTCGGGTTATTTGATCCATGCATAGAATGAAGTGGTTGCTTTGTTCTTGAGTAAAATGGAGTTCACTCTTGTAGCAGTGGTGGTGATGATGGAATCAAGAAAAAAGCCAAGAACACTCTTAAGTTGAGAATGGGAAGGCCCTTGAAAAAAAATGATGGGCAAGTTGGCTGGTAGGATTTACTCTCCTGGGATATCAGTAGCAGCTGAAGAGAAAGGACAGGCACTGTGATACTGGGGAATGATCAGACTTTTAGAATATGTATTATGGAGTATACACAGTAATAGCTATGGGAAGATGCTGATAAGAGGGAGGGGCATATAGAGCAGTGGGATATCCTGTGCGGTTACCTTGGGTGTGGCTCTGGTGGTAGCTGAGATGATGAGTAAAAGTGCTGAAAATAAGGGGGCAGGGGTATGGTGGAATATCTGTGCTGGGATATTGCCTGAGAAAATAGGAAAGGGAAAGTTGGGAAGGAAGACTAGTGAAATTTGCCACTCAGAGCTTTAGAGGGAGTTAGAGGGAGTAATGCATCCCAACCTTGTCCTGTTTGGTCTATCTAGATTTTCTTTCTTTTTTTTTTGTCTAAAAGAGAACAATTAAAATATTGGGGTTTCAGTCCTACCAAACCATGGTTGATCTGAAACAGTTTTCCAGAACACACAGAATAATGAATTCTTCTGGCTTCAAACAAAACAAAATCTATTTTGTCCTATCTTCAGTTTATAATACTGTACATAAAATTCTCATATCCTTTTTTATATTTTCCTTCATTTTCCTTGTTTATTAACTGCAATAACATTTTCTTAATAGCAAAATTTTGTCTTTATTATCTATTGCAGATGTACTAGCCAGCCAGGAACACTCTGGAGAAATAGCAACAGTTACTATTGATCAACGTAAGTTGTCATTCTTCGAATACTTCCGAAAGAAAAATACTTAAATTAGAGATTTAAGCTATAAAAACAAAAAACAACTTTTATGAAGTTAAATCTGTAATTTAAAGTACAATTAAATTAAATTAAATTAAAATTATTATTATTTTACTGAGAAAAGTCCATTCTGCAGATATGTAATTATATTTGAACTAAAATTATGCTACTCTGCTGAACAACATAGATGATTGATATTTGATTTATATCCCTCCCCAAAAAATAATTGCAAAGGGTATTTTTTGAGCCTATTGCCAAATACAGAACCAACAGCCTCCAGGTACAGGTTCAGGTGTTTCTTCAATCTTTAATTTGACCTTGGATGTTACAGAGCTAGTATTTGTCATCAGCTCAGTTGAAGTAAGAAGTTTACCTAATTAATTAACCTCTGAGTTGTTGGGAAAATAGGATATATTTTGCGAAAAGCTAAGAGCTCACATTGGAGTTAGCAAGGCCTTTAGTTCTATTTCTCCATGAATACAAATTGAAACTACCTACTCAAGAGCAGAACCACTACAAAACAATGCCTCCAACTCCCATTCACATCAGGCAGCCCAGTAATAATATCAGTAATAGATTTTCAGTAGGGCCAAGAGTCATCAGGAGTTAAGCTGACTTAAAATCCACTTTGTATTTTCTCATAAATGTTTCTATTTAAGTTCCATTTTTAGTTTACATGCAAAGAACAGGTTACAGATAAAAGTGTTAAGAAATAATGCTTCTAGTATAAAGCATTATGTTACTGATTCATTATATATTCCTTTTATAATTGCCTCACATTAAGCAGAACATTATGCATTGCCTATCTAAAAAATTTAATATCTTGAGAGATTGTCTCTGTTATGGTTGGAAATGGCAATATAATATATTTTGTTATTTGTAAATTGATTGATGCTTTGTCCTCTAGCTGTGCAGATTATTCCAGCTTCAGTTCAGTCTTCTACTCCAACCACCATTAAAGTAATTAATAGTAGTACAAAGGCAGCAAAAGTACAAAGAGCTCCAAGGATTTCAGGGGAAGATAGAAGTTCACCTGGTAACAGAACAGGTATTTTTTTTATTAAACCAAATATTTTAATTATTATTGTAAAGAAAAACAATGATTTTGAAGTTAAAGGAAAATCCCTATGTTGCCAGGCGTTTGTGAAAATCTAGAAATGAAATACAATCTCTGGAAATATAAAACTATATAAAGGCACACTTTATATTTTTTCACTCTTGTATTTTAATTTTCTATGAATATTTCATTGATAAATTAAATATTCTCTCCAATAAAGAGAAAGCATATGTTTAAGAAGAACTGAGTTATTTATAAATTATGAACTTTTTATTTTTATTGTACTTTAATGCTTCCCCTCAAAAAGTGTTTGAAAGTCTCACTACCATTATCTAGATAAAAACAGTTAGTAACTCTTTCAGAAAATTTCAATCCCAAGGATGTTTAATTATATTTCTCACTAAATTTATGTTTAAGTTTGTTGTCTCTTCAAGAATTTCCTTGATACTATATACTATAGAAAATGTAGCAGAGCCATGTTTATCTATGGTAACAAGAAAATCAGGAGTCTGGTGGCACCTTCCCAACTAACAAATTTTATTAAAATGTATGAACTTTCATGATTGGTTACAATCATGAATGGATACAAGCTGCGCTAAACCCCTTTCTTAAGTAACTAAATTGGGATTGGAATGCAGGACTTCACAAATAGTATTCATTAGAATTAATGTTTAGCTTTTGAATTAAGAAATTTTAATTGAGCAAGCTCAATCTTCTATTTCTATGATTTTAGCAATGGTGATGCGAGAGAATTGTAGTTTGTGGAGCATGTCCAAATTATGGAAAGCTGATATAAATTGTAAAAACATTTAGGCATATTTTATACTTGAATTCTAACTTGTAGAATTTTAATAAGTAAAAAGCTTATTCTCTTCATTGACATTTTAGTTGATCTTAAATTTTGATGAAGAGTTTCTATTGTTACATTAGTTGCTTCTTTTAAATAGATTATAAATAGTCCTTCCTTACTGATTGCTCTTTCAGTAATTGTTCAAAATTATCATGGTGCAAACAAGGAGATATATGACTGGCCCTCAAAGTTCTAGTTACCATCCCATCCCTACAGATTTGTGATTTATGCACTTAGCAATCAGCATATTTTATGATGGTCACATGTGATCCAGTGACATGATTACTATTCATGCTATTCACCAGCCTTCACAGCTGGCTTCCAACAAGCAAAGTCAGTAGGAACACTGGAAGGAAGCAATCATATTCATGTGATATCATGCTTAATGACCACAGGTGATTTGCTTAGTGACTGCAGCTATAACTGATGTAATTTTGGAGTGATCACATAACATTTCACTGATTGCATTGTTTAGCAACAGAGTTGCCAGTTCCAGTTGTGGTTGGTATGTAAGGATTAACTGCATACAGTTAGCTAAACTTTATCTTTACTATTTTATTCTGCTTGTCTTAACTTTATAATCAATGAAATACTTAATGTATTTATTTGCATATTAATGATAATAGGAAACAATGGTCAGATCCAGTTATGGCAATTCTTGCTTGAGCTTCTGACTGATAAAGATGCCCGAGATTGCATTTCATGGGTTGGTGACGAAGGAGAGTTTAAACTAAATCAACCAGAACTAGTTGCCCAAAAGTGGGGACAACGTAAAAATAAGCCTACAATGAATTATGAAAAACTCAGTCGTGCTTTACGGTAAGTTAACTTGATTGATTTTATAGCATTGTTACATTGCTTTTCAGCTGAAAGTTCTAGAACAACAGACATGTTCCATAAAAGTTTATAGGCCCCATGTAGAGTCTTATAATCTACGCAACAACATAAAATGCAGAAAAAAGTATATTGGATTCAATTCTCAAAATTAAATGATTAATTAACATCAAAATAGTTGAAGCAGCGGAGGAATTTGTTGGAGCTGACTTTTCAGCAAAGCTTTCTTTGCTACTTTTCCTCTATTTTATTTTCATGAGAATTGGGAGAAGGGGCTGTTAGGCTTTTTCACAAATTCCTTTCTTCTGTTGGATTCAAGTCTTGTTCATCTGATTCTGGTCTTGATAGTTGATCTGTCCTTCAAGACTACCCTTTTTAATCAATGGAGTAGCTTAAAAAAATAACTAAGATTAAAATAAAAACCAAGGATAGAGAAATGATTAATACCCATGTTGAGAAAACAGAAAATCAGTTAAACACTATAAGTCAAAAGGCACATCATAAACCACTCTGCCATACAGCCTCCTTAAAAAAAGGCTTTCCTAAAGCCCAGCACAGTGTGGGAAAACCTTTTGGACTTCTGGAGAAAAGTCATTCCAGAAGACACAGGTATCCACATAAAAATTGATGTTTAAAATAATGTATTCTGTAATAAAATACTTATTTCTGTCTTCAGTGGAGTTTTCAATCTTCCCTCTTCAATTGGTATCCTGTATAGTTTCAAATTACACTATGACAATAGGAAAATATGTTCCTAATATTGGAAAATCCTTTTATATTTCTTTCAACTAAAAAGCTTCACATTCTGTCGTTCATTATGAAGATATTCCTTATATGTTTGTTTCAAACATTTATTTACTTGCCTGCCTGCGAACTTGCTTACAAGATGCTTCAATCAGAACTAATTTTGACATGATTTCCCTCAGTTAAAACAAAGCCTCACAGAAAGGGCCACATATTTCTTAAAAATAGTTTGGGAACCATCTTTCTTTTTACCAGTTTAAGGATGTTTTAGTGGCCTTTAGCGGAGTCTTTCATGGTGCCAGTACATATGAGGATGCACAGAAATATCATAGGCTATTTGAATCATGCAGTCTGTGTTTTGATGTATGTTTTAGCTGAAACATTATTTAATAATTCAATAGTGATAGTGAATATGCAGGAAGTTTGGGCAGTTATAAAGGCTGATTAAGCTCAAATTTAAACGAAATGGAAATTATCTAACATGATATGGGTGAACTTCTCTTAATGTTTTGTGCCACCTGCAACTCACTGCTTTATAGTTTCTGAATTGGCACAGATTTTGAGGGAATCACAGAAAAAAAGAATCCATTTTATTGCAAAACACAAATTTTACAAATTTAAAAAATGGGCCAGGTTTAGTCACTTTCCATTTGTCTTGTTGCATTTCCTTTCCTCAATGAAGGTATTACTACGATGGTGACATGATCTGCAAAGTACAAGGCAAAAGGTTTGTATACAAGTTTGTATGTGACTTGAAGACTCTCATTGGGTACAGTGCAGCTGAACTGAATCGGTTGGTGACAGAATGTGAACAAAAGAAACTGGCAAAGATGCAACTGCATGGGATTACACAACCGGTCACAGCAGTTGCATTGGCTACAGCATCTCTGCAAACAGAAAAAGAGAACTGAGGACTAGGACCTAAAAGCTTGACAACATTCTTTTACACTTAGCAGTTTCTGGTTTTAAAATTAGAACTGCATCTATTAATTGGCAATTCAATATGATGCATGATTTTCTACAAGGAACGCTCATAAATTAGGGCCTTTTTCACTTAAAAATGTGTTTCATGAATGTTAAGGGCACTCCACAGGTTCATGCAGGTTGTAGTAAAGAGTTTGGGAATTATAAGCAAATTGAAGATCTGTTGGTATTATGTTGTGCTACATTGCTTATTTTTTTCAGAGCTTAAAGCATTCACATATAGAACAGTCAGATTTTTTTTAAAAAAAATGGTGTCTGCACTTTTTCAGATGCTGTGTTAATTTCTAAAATTAGAACAGCTTGTTAGAGCTATCCTCATAACTTTAAGCATGACAGATTGTAAGAAAAAATTGATATAAAGGTGTTTTCTTTGCCCCTTAGCAAGAAGAAAAGTAACTGCTGAAAAGAGAAATCCAAATTTAATGCCAATAAGCCAATTATGAGTATTTTGATATCTGTAGATAAATGTGTATTTGAGGAGAAAATGCTTAACTATCTTGAGAAATTTTGTTAAGCTTAATGTCTGGCACAAAAAGGATTTCCACATTTTTATTGTAGGAATTAAAAACTTGAAATTTGTCTCTCATCCAAAGAATAAATTTGCTTTGTTTAATCTACACTGCAGAGTATATCAGCTGTTTCTGCTTTTATACTTGCACTGTAATTATTTTTCAACTGAAGACTTAAGTTAATCACAGAAAGAAACCCCTTCTTGTTGAGTAACAGAATTAAAGAATGGAGTTTGATTTCCCTAAGTTATATAAATGGCTGTGTCAAAAAATACTTTCTTTAAATTACTTGGTTTCCAAGCTTTGTTTTAATGCTTTGGAAATAAAAAAAAATATTGAAAAAAAACCCCAATAGTCCTGTAAATTTAAAATATTTTTAAAAATTATACCCAGTTGAAATCCAGAAATGCTGACAATAGTGCACTGTTTGCGCCTGTTTTTTGTTTTTTTGTTAACTTATAAAATCTGGGAAACACATTCAAGGGTATATTTATTACTCTTGGTTAGTTTGGTATAAATATTATGAATTAAGGCCATTAAAAGTTATGGTTTACTTAATCAAAAATGTAGCCAAGTTGAACAGAATATTTATCCTTTATCAACAATTAACTTAGTTGAATATCATCTTTCATAAGAAGCAATGATCATACAACATGGCTTAGTTCTAAGGACCCTAATCTTATAGATGCTGTTACTTTAACAGCTCCACCAGTTTCTAAGGTATAATTCATGGTTTTATTTACTCATTTTCAAGTTACTAAAAAACATACAGGGATATATTGTAGTGTTTAAGGATCATTTTGGGCAAAGAAAGCATGTAATCTTGTGGCCAGTTAAATCCAATTCACTCTGATGTGTAATGAATACAAAATAGTTTAAATTCTATATTATATTTTTCCTTTTTCTTCCGCAATCTGTACAATAATTATAAAGAATTGTTCATTTGAAATATATTATTAAGAATTCATATTTTGTTTTAGCATCACTCTTTCTATGCCAATATAAGATTTAGGATTGTTACTGCATAACAAGCAACATAGCTCAGATTACTCATTCATATTTATAAATCTGTTTGAGTCAGATTACTCTGATCACAAATTAGTTAATGCTATTATATTCTCTCAGCTATGCATATTCTAGAATAAGCCATAGTAAGGAACATGGCATATGGCCTCTCTTTTATATACATTGATTTTTTTTCCAGAATTTTGAATTTTCATTGTATTTCTTTTAGAAGTTTGCTGCACTTGTTACATTTGTTCCAGTTTATAGTGCTGATGTATGTTAAGCCTTGCTTATAACAGAACCACGGAAAGGATAAAATAAGTTAGAAATATTTTGTTGTATTTCTTGTGAGGGACAATCTGTGACTAATTTGAGGTCTTCAGTACAAGGGTATGGAATATTATATGTGAAATGGCATTGTGTGGCTGTCAGAAGAATAATATAGATCGTATATTCCCAAATTTTTGTAAAATAGAGGGTTTGCATACATTTTTACTCTTCAAGGACATGTGCTCTAAAATTATGTATTTCCTTTTGTGTTGAATGTTTTGGTAATTTTACATGAAACAATTATTTTCTATTTTTACGCTAAAATATTTGTGCATAAAATTGTCAATACAGTAAAAGTAAAAAAATAAAATAAAATTTTACACAGCAGTTTTGGTTTTATGTCCAAGTATGAATTATTCATAGTTTTTAAAGGTCTGCACCCTAAACATTCTGGAACTATGATACTGATTGCTTTAGTTTTGTTGTCAATAATAAATAGATTTGGGTCCTTGATCTACATTAGTTTAAAACTAGCAGGAAGGTTTTTCTTATGATTGTTTTAATTGGAAACTTTCTTTTACAACAATATTGCTCTATAAACAATAAATGCCCTAGATGCACTAGATTAAAAACATGAAACTGTTCAAACTAAAAATGGCTTTTACATATTGTTACAAAAACATATGCTTAAAACAATTCCTTGTTGGACAAATAATGGGCTTTTTTGTAAAATGCATTTTAGTTAATGTGATAAAATGTTCTTATTACACACCTTGTATACTTAGTGATTAGTATTAATCCAAATAGTAGACTTTTAATATTAACTTCAATATATAGAAAATATAAATTAATATGTAAGTTCAATCTTTTGTAATTGTAATAACTGAGAGACAGAGAAGGTCATCCTATGAATCCCCCCTCCCCCAAATTATGGTGTCAAGCATTTTGGCTCAAATGCTGCAAATTGAATTAGTTTCTTTCCGTTGCTTTTGATGCCGTGTAGCTTGAGAACTGCATTTGTATATATAAGTATACATTTAAGGAAAACAAAATCTATAATTCTATATATTCCTGACTATACAGAAGAAAATAACATGACAATGGAAGCTAGGTAAAAAAAAATACTCGGGGTTTTCTTTCTGGATAGCTCAATGGCAAGGATAATCGGTGGCTGTGAAAGGGCAGGGGCTGAACATATCATAAGACTGCAAAATCTGTGTGCCCTTATTACCATAGAAGATATGTTAATCCAATGAACCAGGAGCTTTTTGACTAAAATTACATCCTTTCCTGCATACCAGAATGCAGCCGCCTCTCTTGTCAGTTATTTACAAAAATTAAAGCATGTTTCTTGAAAAGTTAATCTATTGCTTCCTTAAATATCCTCATTACCAGGAGATTATCAGCCTTGAAAGTTTGATAAGATTTCAGTAATCTAAAAGTAAATCACACTGAGCTCACTTGGATATAACAACATTAAAGATCTTGTGAGGATCAGCTTCCCAAATTTGGTGCTTACCAGGAGCATTCTTCATGGAACAAAGTGTTCAAGCAAGTAATATAGCACAGTTATCAGAGAATCACACTAATACAATAAGACTCCTCCAGGAATGTATTTATTTACATTAAAACACTATTATACAAACTGAAAAAAGACATTTTGGAGGGAAGGCATGCCAAGGCAAACACCCTCTCACCCACTGCTAGTTTAATCTATTGTATTTAAAGAAGAAAGTATATGAATCATGTCTTTTTGCAGAAGAAAAAAAACCTAAACCCCCCCACCCTCCCACTTGATGGTCATTATTAAAATTATTCCTCCCAAAAGGTAATATCTCAATCCAAGTAAAACTCTTGCCCAATAGTCTTATTTGTAATTTATTTATGTAACACAGTATAGAAAGCTATCAATTCATAAGCAACAATTCTGTATATTATCCTGCAGAAACATTTGTAAGTTCCCTATATTTTTTTTAAACCAGCAGGCATTTCTTCCATCCTTCCCCTTCACCCTGCCCTGGTATAAAAGTGCTCATGATTTAACAGAGATGATATTTTTTCTTTTCCTTCCTTCTTTCTTTTTTAGATGAAAAGATACATGGCAAAAAAACTTTACTCCTTCAATGCCTAAAGGTGTGCACATAAAACAGGCACAAAGAAACAAATGTGTATTCCCATGATTTTCTACATCACTAGTGCAGCAGAAGCAACAATCTGTACAATAAAATGCAACTGCAGAGGAAAATAATTCATCTGGAATACTTTCTAAAAAAAATTCCAAAACATTTTGTCTTTAAAATGCATAGTAAGCAGAAAAAGGAAAACTTGGCGAAGAGAAGCAGCTCAATCCCACATACACAAAAAGCATCCCTCATCAATTCTTAAAGTATATTTCAATTAGGACTTAATTTTTTTTGTTCATCACAAATCACAAGAATAATATACAACTGGCTAAAGGAGCTGTATGATAAATAATCAAGAAATAATCTATTCATGCACTAGTTAAGTACAGCTAACTTTACAGTACACAAAAACATTCATTAATAATGTAGTGTAAAGACTGAAATGTCAAGAAAGAGTACATTACTGATTTTATAATTCAAGTTCAGGCATCTACTTGTGTTACAGCACAGCTGTCAAAAGGCGATAATGAGTAAATAATAAAACATTGTTTTGTTTGCTTATTTCCATATTACTTTCAGCTGAACATCGATGGGCAGTGGAGCAATCACTTTGCTGTCCAATTCATGAGGTTGCTATGGTGTTCTAGTTCTGCATTTGCTCAAAGAACTTGTAGGTTGGGTTTTCGTAGCCGTTTTGTTGCATCTTAGAAAGGTGACGTTCCTCTGGTGTCACTGCAGCATCCACCTAAAATAGGACAAAGGAGACTACAGTCAAAGACCAACATGGACAGACCACAATTGTTTGTGGGGCCTTTGGTGCTCTCTGAGCTTGGTTGTTTGACTTGCAGATGTTTTGTTACCAAACTAGGTAACATCATCAGTGCTAGTAGGGAGTGACGTTTGCAGCTATTTTGTATCTTAATGGCCATTAATACATAAAATGACAGAAAACCCCATTCTCTTATTAGCACTGATGATGTTACCTAGTTTGGTAATGACATATCCACAAGAAAATCATCAAGCTCAGAGAGCAGCAAGTACCTCACAGTTCAACCCTGAGGTACAAATATTCTTTTCTATTGATACAATTGCTGATTTATTTATTCATTCCCAGCATTGGTATTCCCCTTTTTTGTACAACTCGATGCAAATCTAAATCATTCAATAATATAATTAAATATGTTAAAATCTATAATAGCTTACTTGTTATTATAATAATAGTGTAGTTTTAATTAGTAGTTTCTTTTGAACATTACAAACACTGGCATTGTATAATTATTTTTGTGATTACTATCAATAATGTAATTATCTGATCTCTTGGTTAATAGGCAATGCTGAATATGTCATCCTCCCCAATTTTTTATATGGAGGTACTGAAATAACATTTCTAGATATAAGAAATATTGTATAAAATCCACTGTTTATTTAATATTTGTTTAAGCCAGTGGTTCCCAACATGGGGCCCATGCCCCACAGGGGGGCAATTTGATTTTTAATGGAGGCAATTTGAACCTTGTTTAAACCAGGTTAATGGCCTTTTAGGTTTCCTCCGAGTGAGTGGAGTTCACTTTTTGAGTAAAGTAAGAATTATATGTCACAGGGGGAGCATCAAGATGTTAGAGATGTTTAGATGGGGCATGATTTAAAAAAAAGGTTGAGAACCCCAGGTTTAAGCTGTTTAAAAAGTAGATGAATGTTCAGTCCTATTACAGTCACTCAAATCACTCAAATGAGGATTGGTCCTGGAAAGCATCAGAGCTGTCATTGTGTTTTACATCCCAATAGATGCTATGCAGAAAGACAATACAGTCAGTGCTTTGATTAAACATTGTGTAATTTAATACATTTAAAATTGTGAGATGTACCTTTTTAATACCTTAAGACTATAGAGATAGACAATGTATTTCATGCTGTTGTGTGGGTGATATAAATAAACAACTAAAATTTAAGTTTAAGCATTCTTTTGGAGGACAGGTCTATGTATCTAACAGGAATATTAACCTGGAGAAATTGACTCATACTAAAAATAAGAATATTAAGGATACAGATGACATATCATACAGATAGTTAACACCATTCTATTAAAATACATAATCTACACAGATGGATTTAAATCTATTTAGTATTGTCTGAAATAATGTATGGAATAATATTTATGAGTTTCATTTACCTCCACTACACCATGATGAATAGATGTATACTGTTTCTTCTTTAGCATCACTAAAGTGAAAACAATGACTGTGGCAATGACGACACCCCCTACCATTAGTCCAATGATGGCACCTTTATTTGAACCTACATCTTCAGCAAAGAATACCTAAACATAAAAATAATAGGTTATTATGTAAGAAGATAACATAATTTCCAATGTATTTTTTAGCTTTGCAAAATGATGCATTTGCATTGTACAATCCAATAATTTCTCCAAAGTGTACAAGTTTAAATAAAATATTGTTTCCTGAGGCAAATTATTATGATCTGATTCTCATATTTTAAAGGTGCCGGTTTCACCACTGATTTTGTTTGTGGAAAGCCAACAGTGAAAGTCACAAAGCACAATCATGTGACCATGGGACACTGATGTCATAACTGCAAGCTGGGTGCCAAGTGCCCAGATCATGTTCACATGACTGAGGGAGACTGTGCTGGTTGTAAGTACAAGGTCTGGTCGTAATTACTATTCATTAAACATTATTGTGATTTTGAGTAATTGCTAAATGAATGGTGATTAAACAAAAATCACCCGTATTTATGATTTACCAAAAATCTATATACTACATGTTTACATTAAAATATAAAATAACATATTGTAACATGTAGCATAAAGTGTAAGATTTGTACTACGAAAAATGTTATCCTACAATGTAAGATAATATGGTTTCTCAAGATCCAGATTTCAGTAATCACAGGACACCATCCTACAGAAATGTATATGAAACAGGTTCATAAACAATTGTTTAATTTTAGCTAAATTAAATCTAAGAATTGAGACTACACTTGCCAGTTTCTGATGATGTACTTCATATCCTGAATCATGTCTGTATTCTGCATCCATCTTTAATTCTGAAGTTTCTTCTGTCTTAACATTGGTTAATCCAGAGCCTGAATTAAACCAAAAAACCAAGCAATTACTAAAAACAAACTTTTGAAAATAGTTATATGAACACCATAAACCATGGCTACCAGCATAAAAATATTAAGAAATGCAAATGAAAAATTAGGGGGTGAAAGGTAGAGTTAAACAGTGAAACAAAGAAAAAGACT